GGCTGTAACACATGGAATTGATTGAGCCAGTGAAGTCAATGTTAAAAGGACATAAAGGTATGTCATATCTGTTGATGATTATTTGAGAAAAGAACCATTTGGTTGACTGATTTACAAATGACTAGAAATTTAATATAAAATATTGACGATGGATTTTTTTTATTATAGGAAACTCACAAACGTGAGTAATATTTATATGTAAGAGCCAGTCACTAAGGGTAATGTAGTAAGTATTAGTTAATAATGTTTCAATAGATTGTATATCTGTTTTTAAAAATTTAACCGATATACAATATTTACTTTCAAAATTTCTATATTAACATATTAAATAATTTCTAATTTGAATTGCAATAATAAATAATAAATTTTAATAAATTTGATTTTGAAAACATTGTACATGAATAAAACTAATATATTTGTTATAACTAGGTTGTAATGAAAACAACTGTTGGTGATATTGAGGCAGAATTATGGGTCAAAGAAACTCCAAAGACATGTAGAAATTTCATACAATTATGTATGAAAGGTTATTGGGGTAACAATATATTTCATACACAAGATGGTGATCCTACAGATACAGGAGAAGATTGTAAAATATATTGAGAGCCATTTAAAGTGAGACCATATTTACAAGTAAAATGAATTCGTTTTTTATTCAAAAATAATTATTAGATATATGTGTTTTAGGACGATTTTCGTACAAGATTACGTTCCTGTGAACGAGGTTTAATTACTGGTGGTCATGCTGGAGAAGATGACAATGGTTTCCAATTCATCTTTACTCCTAGTTCTACACTAGATTGGCAGATATAAACATACAATCTTTGGTAAAGTTACAGGAAAAGCTATATATTACATGCCTAAACTTGCAGAAGCACTTGTAGGTGAGGTAAATTTAATGTTTACAAGGAAATACATCAAGAATTGATATAAATATAATATTACCTCTTTTTTGTAGAATGCTAGACCATTTTATCCTCCAAGATTGATAAAAATTATGATATTGAATAATCTATTTTCTGATATTATACCAAGAATAACAGTACAAGAAAGTGAAGAAGTAAAGGACAATTCAAAAACTAAGACAGCAGCAATAAAGTAAAAATCATATATGTTTGCAGAATTTAGCCCTGATAGTATTGTTCTTTGTAATGAAAAATATTGTTACAGAGATTTCAATATTTTATCATTTGGTGAAGGAGCAGTGGAGAATGAAGAAGAAACTGTGATATTAAATAAAAAGTTTAGTGATAGGTACAAATCAGCGCATGATCATTTAATTGATGAAAGTAACGACGAAGTAAAAACTAAGGAAGAGTTAGAAGTTATAAAGAAAGAGAAAAAGTTAGTGTTTACATTATAACTATGTTATAGAAAGTGGAATTTTTATTGACTTGTATTATATAATCTTATATTTATATTTTATAGCAATGAAGGAAAGGATAAAAAGTAAATTGAGAAATACAAAAAAGGATCCGAAGAAAGTAGAAAATTATAAAATAGACGATGTTGAAGATGATAAAGATATAAAGGAAAATGAATGGGGAATAAAGAACTCTTTATGAAGTTTAGCACGAGAGAAAGCCGCGGAGATGCACGATAAGAGACATACATACAAGAAAGACCAATATCTACAGTTATTAGGATAAGTCATATATTTGAATAGAATCATTTG